AAGGCACACTCGAGCAGGTCCAGCTGGAGAGGTCCAGCGGCCGGGGCCTGGGGCCTGTGGTCAGAGTCAGAGACCTTATGTTTACGGCTCTTTCCTTCGAGCTTATAACCTTATAAACCTGGTCGAGTTTCCGAATCTCTGTGCTCCCAGCAAAGTTGATCGAGGAGCTTTATTACCTCACGGATTAATATGAGGAAAAAATGAGATGACAGAAGTTTGGTGTGAGCAGGTGGGGCTTGGGTTATGCAGAGGTGCAGGCCAGAGCCAGGGGACAGGGCCGACCTGGACCTCCCATGCTGAGGGCCTCACGTGAGTGGTAGCTTGTGCAGGTGCCTCAAACACCATCCAAAAAAGGGGAGATCAGGACAGGCATCTCAGGAACCCTAAAGCAGCCTGTTCTCCCCCACAGAAGGTAGCCAGAGGCCCCAACATGGAAACACAGCTTGCCGACTCGGGGAACTGCCTCAGCTGCACCCACGAAGGCCACTGGTCACGGGGCCTCCCAAAGCAGCGCAGTCAGTCACAGAAGCTGGCTTTTCTTTCGGGCCCTGGCTGAGGGCTGGCTTCCTCCAAAAAGTGACCTGGAAATGAGAGAGCGAGCTTCCGCCCCAGCACCTCTGCTAGGGAGGGTGTTGGCACCACCGACATCCTCTGAGCTACGTTTTACTTTGCTATTTTGAGCTCCTCCAGCAGCGTAAACCAGATAAATGCACACTGGTGGTAATGAGCACTTATTCTGGGGGCTTAGGACAGTGTCATAGTCACACCTCAGGAGGCCCCTATGAAACAGGCCTGACCATGGTCACCTCTTCACAGGCGAGACGAGAGGTCAGAGAGAAATGGTAACCTGACCAGGCAGGGGTGGCACTGTGAGGCAAGCCCAGGATTGCTAGCCCCTAAAGGCTGGAGCGTGGGCGCTGCTGGAGCCTCACAGGTCAGGGACGCTGACCCCCAGGGGTGAAGAAAAGTTGACAAGTCAGTAAGTACAGGCTGGAAGCGCTGGCTTCCTTGGCACTCAGGGGACTCACAGCCAGCCCGTCCCAACTGTTGGAAGTCAGCAAAGGGAGAGAGCACCGCCAGCCTCGGGATTAGCCTGGCCCCTGCCAAGGGCTCTTGGGCCATTCCAGTGCCTGCCCCGGGCTCCACCCTTGCCGTGGTTCCGCTCAGAGGCAGCCTGAACTGCCCTGCCTCATTCCGCCACAACCCCCGTCCCCAGCCCCAGGCCTGGCCTGCAAGGATCCCTCGGCGACCCACTGGGTTTGTACAGACTCTGCTTGGCAGCGGCTCCCTGCTGGCACCACTTCAAAGCAGAGGCCGCCCAGGTGTCAGAGCAGCTGGCATGTTAGGAGGCCTCTGGCAGGAAGGGGTGTTGAGCCAACTGCCAGCAACTGGAAAACAGCACATGTGGATGACCTGTCCCTGGGAGAGGCCTTCCTGAGCCCTCGGGGCTGGAGGGGCTGCCAGGGAGCCCGGCTGAGTTCAGGCTGAGGGAGCTGCCCTTGGCCTGTAGTACCCAAACCAGGGCTTGTCTCTGTCACTGAAGGCAAAGACAGGCCTGTAGCCTCCTGCCTGCCTTCTCCTGCCATTCTGCCAAGATTCCAGTGCCAGATGCCAGAACGTTCTTGGGTCAGGGCGTGAGTGTGGAGATGGACAGTGCAGCAGGCCGTCTCTGAAGGCGCCTTTCTCAGTCTGTCAGGCTTCCCCGCAGCCACAGCTCTCAGACGTTTTTCCCTCACAGAGCCAGCACTTATGGGAGAAGCTATTGGCACTGTCCCCCCGGGACAATGCTCAGTCGGAGCTGGGAGGAACTACCAATACTTTGGGGAAGTAATGAGCCCTCAGCCTTCTGCTTGAATGCCTCTAGCAACAAGCCAGTCACTCTCTCACAGCAGCCACAGTCCAGAGCATGGCAGCTTGAAATCTCCTAGCACCAATATCCTGTAACATCCCCTTCAGAGCAGTCCTTTAAGAGTCGGTCTCGGCCTTTTCTGAGCTCCGGAAGACCACGCCAGAGCCTGAAGTCTGACTGAGCATCAGGGATGTGAGCGGCCGGGAGCCTTGCGGGTAGAGGCACTGGCTCATCTGGGTGCATGAGAAGGAGGGACCATGGGGAAGAGCTGCAGGTCGCTGTGGCACAGGATGGAGGCTGCAGCCTGTGAGGGAGATACAGGTCATGTGGGTTCCTACGTCAGAATAAAGGTGGGGATCCTGTTCCAAGGGTAGTAGAAGCCTGTAAAGGACTTTAAACAGAGTTGTAAAATGGTCAGATTTGCATTAAAGAAATACATCGTCCTGACCACAGTCATTCGACTAGGAGACCAGCTGGTTGCAGGAAACCCAGCAGGTCACCCAAGAAGAAGAGGTGGCGGTGGGCGTCAGATGGTGGCTGTGGAAGGGGGAAGAGGTCGGGGATTCCAGAGAGATGGCAGGGTTGGGACTGATAGGACTGGCCTTTGTTTGATGGGAGTGGCCAGGTGCCTAGGCCCCTGGGTCATTGGCCAAGCCCAGGAGTGAATGATGTTGCCAGGAATGAAAGCTAAGCGCCCATCTTGCTACTCACAATTAAGAAATGCTCTCCATCCTTTCACGCTGGGATCCAGTCACAGGTCCCTGGGAAAAGCAAGCCCCTCGTGTCTGCCTCCCCCACAGCCGCTAGCCCCTCCTGACTTCCATAAGGAGCAGCTGGCCAAGGGGGCCGGCCATGGACAGTGCGGCCCGACAGCCCTGGTTCTCCTGCCCTAGAATGGCGTTGCTCTCCCTTGTCCAGTCCACAGCCGCCCATCTCAAAGAGAGTGTCGTGTGCACAGCCAAGAACTGCCCCTGGCAAACGTGGCAGCCCAGTCCTGAGCTGGAAACACACCCCACTTGCAGCCCCGAAAAGATGCTCCAGAGACTGTCTTCCAAGCCCTGGTGTGGCAGGGCCTGTCTATTAGTGAGGATCGGAACAGCTTCTGGAACGAGCCAGTGATGGTGACAGGTGGTGGCTGCACAGCTTTGCAGTGATACTGACGTATATACTGCACCGTGGACTTTGTGGTATTCTGACTACCTGGAGACATAAGAAAATGACTAACGGTGAATGGCAGCAACTGCTGCAGAGAGCCCTGGGTCCCAGGCTGGTGATAAACATGAGGAGCCAAGACACATCCTCAGAGGCTTTGGTTTCCTGCTTGGGGGTGTTCTCAGCCTGGCCCTCCTCGGGAGTAATTCGCTTCAGGCCCTCTGGGTCCTTTGCTGTACTGGAGCAGGGCAGGAGGGAAAGGGCTTCGGTCCTGTTGGGGCACCAGCAGTCAGCGGGCCCTTCCTCAGCGCGCTCTCCAGGAGCGCTCACCTCCCTCACCGCCTGGTGTCTCTCTGCCTCTCATCTCTCGGGCCCCACCCAGCTAGCAGAGCCGGGATAGTGCCCCCTCTCCCCTTTTTTGCCTGCCTTGTTCTCAGGTTGTGAGAAACCGGCTCACTGCATGGCCCAGGCGGGCGCGCCTGGTGGAGAGACCAGGGCGCCCTCCCGTGGCCATAAGCAGCATTGTTTCTTCCCACGCTCCGGCCTTGAATTTTTTTCCAGCTGGAAGTTCAGTGTTGAACTGTGGTCATTAAGGTAGCTTTTTCTTCCCCAGGAGATTAAATAAGAGTCAGGAGTCTCAGATTAAGTGAAGAGAAAGAAGGAATTTAGCCACAGTCGTTACAAACTGTTCGCGCCTGCATTCCGGCTTTATCCTAAGAGGCGGCGGGACCCTATGGGAAGCACCCAGCCTGTGGCCGTGGCCAGTTCCTTCCCGGCCCGAAATGCGGAGAAATCACAAGACCTACCTCACAGGGCTCTTGTGGGGTAAAGGCACTTTCTAGGGCTGAAGACCGCCCATAGCACCACAGGCCAGGTGCCAGGAAGTGGCACCTGCTTCAGTGTTGGTCCTTTCCTCTTTGGGGGAGACCTGACGCCAAACCTGCTGCCCCGTTCGGTCCCTAGGCCCCCCACACATCACAGCCTCTCAGAGCCCCTCCCCACAAGTGAGCAGCTCTGCTCCTTCTGGAAGTGACCCAGGTGCCAGTTTGTGGGAGGAGTGGGGGTGCTTCTGACTTGGGGAGGTGATGAGAGATTTAGGAAAGTACATAACAGAGCAAAATAAAATCATCACCCAAAAAAAATAAAAAATAAAAACAGTGAAGATGGGGGTGGAAGGGCCCAATTAGAAAGAGGCTGGCGCCCAGCTGTCTTTGCGGGGTGAGCTGGGCACCCTGGGCAACACCCAGCAAGTGCTAATTTCCTCCCTCCTTCCCTCCTTCCCTCCTTCCCTCCTTCCCTCCTTCCCAGTGAGACCCCAGCAGGGCATGCGCATGGCCTTGGTCTCAGCCCTTCAGTAGTCACATGGTTTTCTTCGGTGAGGTGCGTTTGCAGTTGGAGTGGCTACAGAGGAGACAGGCTAGGCAGTGGTCAGCTGTGAGCGTGGACAGCAAGCAGCAACAGTGGCAGCACAGCGTACAGAGGTGGGCGTGCTCGCTGGCGCCCCCCTGGGCTCCGTGCCTCCCCTCCTCTGCCATCTGTGCCCCCGGGTGGAGGTGCCCGGAGCTGTGCTGGCCCTCAGTAGCTCTTCACTCTCGGTACCACTTGCCAAGACCCTTTAAGCCTCTTGGCTGTTCTTTTTTGCCTTTTCTGACCGGCTGTATTTATTCGGAGCTAAGCGGTCCTCCTGCAGGATGAAAGGATTTGCTGCTCCAGTCTCTGACCAGAACTTTGGCTGCCTTACAGAAGCACCCTGTGGCCCGCTCCTTCTGTGTGCCTCGCCCTCCCAGGCTCCCTCCACAGGCTGGTGCCGCAGAGGCGGAAGCTCAGGAGTGTGGTCAGTTCAGTGAGGGGCAGAGCCAACGGAGGGACAGGACGGGAGGGGACTAGGACGCGCTTTGAAGGGCCCGCTCCCAAATGTCTTGCTGTCCCAAGGGACAGTGCACACTTCTCCCGCGCACACTTCTCCCACACATTTACACACATTCTCTCCTCCCCTCAGGATTGTGCTCATGGACGACGCCATGGATTGCCTGATGTCTTTTTCAGATTTCCTTTTTGCTTTCCAGATCCAGTTTTACTACTCAGGTGAGTGTCTCCTGGGCCCCGTGTACCTCCCCGTGTACCGCCTAGAACCAAGTCTCCCCTGCCTGCCTGTGGCCCGCTCCTTCTGTGTGCCTGGCACAGACCTCTCCGTCCCTGCCCCCCCCACCCCCGCCCTGAACTTTGGTGGTGTGCTTCAGCGGGGTCACCGACAGGACATCTCGTTCCCGTGGAGGGCCACCCCATCCCATCTGCAGAACCCACTCCTCCAGCCTCCTCAAGACACACAAAACCATAGTGCTTCCGGGCAGCAGCACCACTAATTAGTTTAAGAGATAAGGTCAGCCACAGCCACAGCAGTGTACACTTGGGTGACAATACAAGATAAACTCACTGTTGACAAGACTTGCCAGGATGAGCACTCAGGACTTTAATCCTTACCCCAGTCAGAGAGATAGGCCTCTCAGAGATAAGCTTCCAGTGAGTCGCCAAAGTCACACAGCTGCTAAGTGCTGGAGCCCAGACTTGACCGACCAGCGGCTCACTCCCGAGCCAGTTCTACAGCATTGCTGGGGGAGCCCTCTGCCCAGGCCCAGCGCAGACAGAGAGGCCCGCGTCTCCCACCCCACGCCACTCCCATCACTCCCATCATGCTCCCCACTCTTCACCAGCTGTGCCCTTAAGTCCCTTCTGCAGTCAGGTGGAATAAAAACAGATGAGTAAATACAGATGCACACCGCTCTCCCGGCAACGTTCAGTGGACCGTCGGGCTCAGAAATCACTGACCATGTCATAAACGCTTCGCAGACAGGCTTTCCAGTAAACAGAAGGCTTTCTCGAGCCTGGACATGGCTTTCCTGCCAGCTGGTGGCCCCGGCCAGCTCCGGCCTCCCTCGGGCGCTGCATTCTGTTTTCTTGATGGCAGCCCAGGGCCTGGTCGGGCGGGGCTGGAGCCTGAGGGTTGCCACCTGCTCCCGGCACCTAGCCCCATTTCTCTTGACACTCGTGGGCCCTAGAGAAGGATCAGGCTTACTTGGGAGAACCTTTCCCCCACCCTGTCTCCCTGGGCCTCTTCTCAAAGCATCACAGCAGCACCCCAGCCTCCCAGCATCACCACCCCACCGCCAGTCAGCACTGCTTTCTGACAAAGGCTGCTTACAAGATGAGAACCGTTTCCAATATTTAATAAGCTACAGTTGCACACTTTCCCTTCCACACTGGTACCCCAACATGTCTTCTGGTGTCAGGCAGACAGGTGGCCTCCTGAGGAGACTCCAGTGGGAGCAAAACGAGTTTGGCTTTGCTTTTTTTTTTACACCCTCCCTCACCTCTTCCCCTCTGGTCCCTTGATTTGTGTTACCAAAGTCCACTGGCTTACCATTGCTTTTTCATTTGTTTCTGTTTTCTTCTCTCTCAAATTAGGTGAGACCATCTGTATTTGACTCTCTTCTGATTTCATTTAACATTACCCCCTCACATTCCTTCCATTTTGCTGCAAATGGCAAAACTTGGTAGCTTTTAGCGGGGTAGCATTCCACTGAGTTTCTGTCCCAGTCTCCCTTCTCCAGTCACCTGTCCAGGGCACTCAGTAAGCGTAGGGCGACCTAGCGCTTCCGCTAGTGATTTCTTTTTCTTCCGAAGGGGGCTCGCTGGATCAAACCGGTAGTTCTGTTTTAGTTTCTTGAGAAATCAAATTGTTTCCCAGATGGTTGCCCCAATTTACATTCCCACCACCAAGTATGAGGATTCCTTTTCCCCCACACCGTCTCCAGCACCTGTTGTTACAAGTCTTTTGATGTGCACCCTCCTTGCAGGTGCCAGAGGGTATCTCACTGTGGCTTGGATTCATATTTCCCTAATAATCAGCAATAAGGAGCATTTTCTCCTGCACCTGTCATCCTCCTCTCTGTCCTTTTCAGGCAAGCATCTTGAGATCTGCTGCCCATCTTTGGATTGGGTTCGGTTGTGTTGTTACCGATTTGTGAGTTTATTCACCGTGGGTGTCAGCCCTCTGTTGGAGGTGTGGCACGTAGTGCTTTCTCCCATTTGGTAGACTGTGTTTTCATTCTGCTGTTTTTTCACTGTGCAGAAACATCTTAATTTGATGTGGTCTGAATTGTTTATTTTTGCTTTCCTTTCCCTTGCCATTGGGATCAGGTCCCCAGAGACATCTCTAAGGCCGATGTCCCAGAGCATATGGCCTGTGTTTTCTTGTTTCAGGCCTTACCTCCAAGTCTTTACTACACTTCAAGTTATTTTTGTATATGGATTTAGAGTGATCTGGTCTCATTCTTTGGCATCTGGCTGTCCCAGCGCTATTTTTCTTTTTTGAAAGATTTATTTATTTATGCATACAGAACTGGGATACAGGCCAGAGGCTCAGGGACGGCAAGAGGCTTCACCAGAGACAGAGTGAGGGACAGAAGAGGCAGATCGACAAAATACACTGCTGAGGGGAGCAGCGGGCGGGTCAGGAGAGGTCTGCCACGCCATGTGGTCATCTGGCAATCGAACTCATGCGGAAGTGGCTTTAGCTTCTTAGTGCTGTGCTTTAACCCACTGCACCGCCAGGGAGGGCCCCAACACAATTTTTTGAAGAGACTTTCCTTTCTCTGTTATTTGGGGGATCTCATTGCTCGAGAGCCACCCACAGGAGGGGACACTTGAACTCAAACACCTTAGTGTCACCGCGCATGAGACACACAAGGTCAGGGCCCCGCACTAGGAGACCACGCCGAGCACCAACGACCAACAGCGAAGGGCGGCCACAGTGGGCCAGGTGTGTGTCCGCCCTGACCTGTGCTCCTCCGCATTACTCAGAATTCCTGGAGAGCGTGGCCGCCATCTACCAGGACCTGCTGTCAGGCAAGAACCCCAATACAGTGATAGTGCCAACATCATCCAGTGGGCAACACCGCCAGCGGCCTGCCATGGGCGAGGCCAGCATGCTGGAGGGGGTGGAGGCGTCGCTGTTCTACCAGTGCCTGGAGAATTTGTGTGACCGACACAAGTACAGGTGAGGCCAGCACGCACCCCCGCCTCAGCCCCAGGGAAACAGGGGGCTAGTGGGGTGTCTCAGCCAGGGAAGTCAGAGTATGAATGAGATCAGTATCATTTGCCCCAGACTGGTCATTGACTAGAACACTTCCCCAGTGCCTTACCCAGGGAGGGTGGTTTTTACTGGAGGCCAGCTGTAGGTGACTAGCTTGTCAGGAGGTAGACTGGCCTTGTACAGAAGATTCACTGTAAAGGAAAGGTGAGGCCGTCCTGAGGGCACCGGTCCTATAGGGACAGAGCAGCCAGTCTTGCTGCTAGCCCCCAGGAGGAGGCTGTCAGCTGTTGCCACGTCCCATCCCTTCCTCCCAGTACCCACTGGGAGAGTGCCAGTTAGCCAGCCTGTAATCCGGGCCTGGCTCCCGGAGCTGCCACAAGGGCCCAGGTCTCCAGGCTGGGCCAGCAGGCCCTCCCGGCTCTGAGCATCCTCCTCAACCTGGAGGTAGGGTGCGAAGATGGCTCTCGGACCTGCGAGTCTCTGAATCTGCCATCTGTGCTCTCCTCCAGCTGCCCACCCCCAGCACTTGTCAAAGAGGTCCTAAGCAACGTCCAGAGACTCACCTTCTATGGATTCCTTGTGGCTCTCTCAAAGCATCATGGAATCAACCAAGCCCTAGGTAAGCGGCCTCTCCCACCCCCCCAAAGAGCCAAGTAGGAACTGATCTCTCTTAGCAGATGGGACCCCGGGGAGGATGCATCATGGAATATGCAGAAGAGTGTGGCGCTGGAGCCTCCAGGCTCCCTGGCAAAGGGGCAGGCACCTGCCCGGGCCCCCTCCCCAGCAACAAGCGGCCTCTCCCCTGGAGTCTCCATCTGCTGTGGGAGCAGCTGCAGGCTGGGCAGAGACAGGCTACTCAAGGGCCCCGGAGGTCATATATCAAAGAGCCCTGATGCCCACTTGTCAGCAAGGTGAAGGTGTGTCTAAGGAGGTCCTTTTTGTCCAGCTAGAAGAAAAGTTAGAGGGGGCAGTAAAAAAGTGCGCTTGCACTGGCCCAGTCTCTCCCGCCCCACGTCACCAGTGGGCATCCTCCAGCGCCTTCCCTGAGCCACCGGGCCACTGCTTTCTGGAGCTTGAGCGGTTCTTATCTTCCTCAAGAGGCCTGGTTCCCTAGCTCAGAGAGACACACAGCAGGCCTCCCCTCGGCAATGGGAGGCCAGGGGCCAGGAAGGAAGTGGAGGCCTCATGGGTGCCAGTTGCAGTAAGCCACATGCTGCTGCTCTCCCATGGCTGAGCATCTGTGGGGTGCTCTGGGACACACGGGGGCACCCCGGCATCACTGACCAACCCACTGAGGCAGGACGCCACCTGAATCGATGCTTGAGGCACATACAGGTCTGGGGACCCCTCAACTGAGGTGAGGTGCCAAATTTAACATCAGGACAAGGAGTGGAAAGGAGCCAGAAGTCAAGAAGGGGCGGCGAGGGCTCGTTTTCCTTCACGCTTCTAGATGACCGCCCTCCTTTCCTGTCCACCATCACAGCACCTTGGAGCGAAACACTGGCCTCCAGTCACAGCCCTCAGTGCTTGCCAGGCTCTTAAAGAGAGCCACCCCTTTTGCCAACGGGTGCCGGGTGGAAGGGGAGGTCTCAGACTAGGAAATGGCTATCTGGAGATGGACACCCAGGCTGCAGCCAGTGGGACGGGGGTGTCTGTGCAGGGCTCCAAGGGACAGTTTGAACACCACTAATGTGGAGCAGCAAGGGCCTGCAGGCATCGCCCGAGAGGACACTGGATGAGGCAGGAATTGCACCAGAGGCTGATGGGTAACTTTAGAGACCACCATGTCTCCTGCGCCTAGCCACCAGTGAGCAGTTCTCCTTGACAGTTTGCTGGCCAGACTCTACCTGCACATGTCAACTTACCTTCCCTCCCACCAAGAACCATCTCAGGATTGGGGTTAAGGACACCAGCTCAGAGATGGGTTTGCCTGAGGCCTAAGTCCCTTGTGGCAGAGCAGATCCACCCCTTGGTGGCCTGCGCTTGGGCTTGGGCTTGGGCTGATCTTCACCCGACCTCCTCCAGCCCCCAGGACTCTCCCAGGAGCCAAGGGGCATTTTGGACTATTATCTCTCCAAGGCAGAGGTCAACCCGACTTGGAGGGACAAAACTAGCCTATTTCTGGCCTTTGATGTTAACCTGGGCTGCATCCTGTCTCTGGCTCCCTTTCGGCCCAGTTTCTCAGGCCTCAGAAAGAACTAAACCCCGAGCACCCACCCGCTCACACTATAAAGCATGCAAGGGGCTCACCCTGTGTGTGGTGACTTGAAATTTGGGGATGTCAGCTATGGTCTCTGCCCCCCAGTGTGGGAAGGTTGGCAGCAGGATTCCTAAAATGTACTCTGTTATACCCGGATCCCTCCTCCACAACATTTCCAAAGTTCTTTCCCAGGTCCCTTCCAGCAGCCCTCCTGGGGCCAGCAGAATGGCAGACCTCAAGGGAGAGCCATGGAGGCCTCTGCTGGGAGTGGGCTGGCTGACAGCAGCCTGACTGGGGGGACCCTCTGCTTAAATTCTGTGCCCCCAATTACCCCCTAGGTGCTTTGCCTGACAAAGGGGATCTGATGCACGACCCAGCCATGGACGAGGAGCTGGAGCGCTTGTAAGTGTCAGGAGGGACGAGGCTGCCCCTGTGGGGCCAAACCTCACCCGCCTGCGTGGCCTGGCTGTGCTCCATCGGGGTCACAGTGCCTGTAGCACTCCTCACTAGCCAGGGAAGGGTTTGGGGACATGTAGAGCCTGGAGGGACCCTCTGATATGGCCCATGGTTTCACCCCGTTTCAACAGGGGAGTGTGGTGGTCCCAATCTCAGAAAGGAGGCATCTTGCTGTCCTCTGGGCTTCTTCCCTCCTTCAGGCTGGCCCAGGTCCCGAGCCTGGTGAACTCGGTCACTGCCACACCAGAGGCCAGCTGCCTGCCTTCCCGGACCCCTCCCCGGGTTGGCTCCCCCTGGAGGCCCCTCCATCATGCCCGCAGAGTGGATGCAGAGAGCGATGGTTCCACCGAAGAGACAGATGAGTCCGAGACTTGAGGCGTCCGAAGGGTCCCACCTTCACAGCCCCGACCCCCACCCTGCCCTTGGGACTTCCACCCAACTTCATCTACTGCGCCTGTGCCATGCTGCCCCCTGCTGGTAAAAAGACCGAGTAACAGCCACAACCCAAAGACCTGTCCAAGAGGTTGCGGTCAGCCAGCAGTGTCCCTTGAAAGTTAACAGCCTGCTCTCCCTGGCCCCATCAGTCTCTTGCACTAGTCAGGCTCCAGATTGACTGCAGGAGCCATGACAAGGGCACCGGGAAGGTGCCTTCTGGCGTTAGCCTCCTTCCGACAGCCCGCCATTAGGTCCATCTCTGCAGCAGCTGCAGGAAGGGCAACGCAGTGAATAGCCAAGCAGGGTAACTACACCTGTGGTTCTGGAGTAGCCACTGGCCACAGACAGAGAAGGGTGGGCAAGACGACAAACTCACAAACTGCTTCAAGTCTCCTGTGTCTTATAGTTAACTATGTGCAATGAATAAAGTCCCTGTGTCTGGTAAGTGGTGAGTCTAAACCCACTAGAAAGGCGGGGCGAGTGTGGGTTCTGGGTCTGTGTTTCTGGCAGAAGTGGGAGGTGGGGGGCCAGAGCAGCACGCAGCCTGGAGCCCAGCCTCAGAGGCCTTCCTGCACGTGACGGCAGCCCTTCAAAGGACACGCGTGCACGCTGGAGTGCCCTTCGGCAAACAAGCTCAGCACGTTCAAGACCAAGTTCCCGTAACTTTACGGGCCCTGCTGAGGCACCTGCAGAGCCTTCCAGCCGGTTTCATCAAACACTGGCCAAGTGCCTGCTCGGCCAGGGCCAGTGGCTGCACTGTACATGAGACCCGGGACACTCCCAGCAGATGGGAAAAGGTGACGGGGGCCTTCGGCTTCCTTGAGTTGGGCAGGAAGCCTCCAGAAAGTAACCTATCCGGATCCAAGCAAAGCAGCTGCTTCTCCGAAGCTGGAGAACCTCCTGCCAGCTCTGGGGTGGTACTCGCCTGGGTTCGCCCTGCCCAGACCAAGTCCCCTGGAGAAGTACAAATGATCTCAAATACCCTGTGGTGCCAGGCTGGGTTTCCAGTGCTACTGAAGCTCCAGGCCCACAGCACCTCCAGCACTGAGCAGCTGGAAAATCCCACTGTGCCTCAGAACCACCTGGGAAGCCGGGCTGACATTGCAGATTACCAAGCTCCAGCACAGAAACCCAGATGCGAACCCCCCAGGCCCTGAAACTGAAAGTGCCAGGCCCACACTTCAGAAGCCTGGCTAGTGCCCCACGGCCCCTCCTAACCATCCATCCCCTGAAGGGGGTACAGACATTCCGGAGCCCCTCGGGCAAAGGGAAGGCCAAGCCAGGGCTTTATATGCACATCCTCTCTCTGCGTGTAGAAAGGCTCCAAAGTCTGAAATTTAATTATTCTGAAACTCCGCTGAGAATTACATCCCCAGGCAGGCCTGCTGGTGGGGTGCGGCCAGGGCTGTGGCGGCTGCCGCCTGCCGCAGCCACAGTTCAGGTGATGAATTCAAGGGCCAACTAATATCAGCTCTTTCCTCCGCGTGCAACAGGGTGGTGAGGTCGAGGCTGCATCGGACCCCGCGGCAGCACAGGGCCGAGGAGCCAGGGGCCTTTGGTTTTCAGAGAAGAGACAAGCTGGAGGCCTTGGAGAGAGTCCCCTCCACGTCAGCACTGAAGCCCTACCAGTATCGGTGGGAGCCCAGAGAGTGAGGCAAGGGGCCTGCACTGACAGGGAGGCAGGACCTGAGAGGACGCTACGTCATTCAGACCAGCAGGGCCCCACGCCCTGGCGGGGCTTTATTTGATACCACTTTGTTTCAATACAAACAGTCCGGAAAGAAAGTCATGTCCCTTTGGGGAAGGGGAGTGTGGGGAGAGTGGTTTGTGTTGCTTGGGAGCCCACCCACAGCCATAGGTGGGCCAGACTGCCAGCTGGGCAGGGCAAGATGGCACAGTGCGTGGCCCTCGCTCTCACGAGCGGGGCACCGTCCTGGCCCCCTACACCCAAGATGATGAAAGTTGCCTCCGGAGCCTGCTTCTGTCCCTCCTATCCTGTCCTGTCCTTGGCCAGCATGACACAGCGCCCAGAGCAGGGCACAGGCCAGAGACCCGCCATGGCGGCCAGCAGGGGAGAAGGGACAGCAGGCGCTGGGGCCACAGTGGATGGCATGGAAGGCCTGAGACGCCCCGGAGGAGATGTTCTCCTCCAAGTGTTCACTGCAAACAGGGGCGCTGAGGCAGGGGAAGATCACTCGGGCCTCCGGTCTGATCACAAATGAAACAACTTTAGGTACCAGGTGAAGTTTCTAGCCCTTAGGAAGACCCAGATGAAGGTCCGTCCCCTCCCCTGCCCTCCTCTGGAGCCACGACAGGCCACAGGAGCGGGAGCAGCAGCAGCAGCAGCAGCAGCAGCAGCAGAGCCCTCCCCGACTCGGGGGCTGGACCCCAGCGCAACTCTTTCTAGACCTCCCCACTGGCTCCAGAGGATGGGGCCAAGCCCCCGGCCCCCCTGGAAGGATCCCAGAGCCTTACACGTTTTACATTCCCTGCTTAAGGAAGGGCCGGACCCCGAATCAGCTGTGGTGAAGGAATGCCCATCACACCCCAGTGGCAGGACAAGTGAGCAGCAGCTCTGGGGGCAGGACCGGAGGACAATAATCCAGAATGCAGGGAGTGGAGGTGGAGCGGGGTGCAGGGAGGAGAATCAAGGGCTCCATCTATAGGCAGAGGAAAGTGCTGGTCCCGCCCATCCCCACTCCAGATCCTCACAGGACACCCCCCTCGCCCACCACACACAGTAACAGTTCCTCCCAGCTTCCACAAGGCAAGGTCCCTGGCCACGGCTCATGGGGTTCTTTCTGCCTTCCCCGCCACGTGCCTGAGCCTCGGAGCTTCATCAGTAGGAACCATAGCGATCCTGGGGATGGGGAAAGAAAAAGTCTTCAGAGCAGTGCTTCCTAGCGCACGCCCTCCCCCAACACGCGCAGGGCTGGGGGGCCCGCAGAGTATATGCTCTGCTCACGGTGACCCTAGAAGAAACCCTGCCTGGCCTCACAGAAATCGGAGGGAGAGAACAGAACCGGGGATTTGGTGCAGACAAGCAGCACCAGAGAGCAAGGCCAACCCAGCTCCGCTCCAAGGCAGGGGCTGCCGGTCAGGACAGAGCCTTCCCCTCTAGAAGAGTGCTCTGGCAGCTGAGAGCCAGCAGGAGTAGCAGCTGCACGTGGTGATGGTCAAACACCGTGATTGTGCTTGGGCCCCTCCCGTCACAGGCCAAGAGCCACAGCCTCACCTGCAAAGAATTCATCACCCCGTTGGCCAACACAGCCATCTTCCCAGCCACGGACTTGACTCCCTGCTTGAACTGGGCAATGTCAGCCGTGGGGAGCACATTCCCCAGAGATACGCTTCCTGTAAAAGCAAGGGAAGGGATGGCCCAGAGTCCAGCAGGAAGCCTCCCTTCTCCCAGTGCACAGGGGCCTTCAACTCTGCTCACAGGCCTCCTGTGGCGTCCGCCACACCACTGGGACCCCACCTGTTCCGTGAGCTCCATCCATGTCCCCAAAGAGGTCTGAGGAGCTGATGGCACTGCTGCCGGAGAGCTGCTGTAGCCGAGATCTGGCTTCATACTGTGAACAAAGTCAGGCCTGGGCATCTTTTGACCAAGGGCCCAGACCTTAGGCCAAGCCATGCTGACGCTAGGGCCCTTATCTGTGGTGGGGCGGAAGCTCCGGCTTCTACCTGCCACCTTCGGCCTCAGCAAGGACAGCTCTACTTACCTCCGTATCTGCGTCCCTCCCAAAGAACATGTCAGATGAGATGGCTTTGGCGCCTGCAAATTTCTGGCGTGCCTCACTGGACTCGAGAGCTGGGCTCCGGCTCTCCACCTCTCTCCGGTGTGTGACTCTGAGGGGGAAGTGGGACAACATCTCTGACCCTTCTCGTCTCTATCAGAGGCTGACGAAAGCATTATCAATCAGCTGTGGGGGGCTGGCGGCAGGCTCTCTGACTGCTTCCACTCCCTTCTCCACACCGCAACCCAGGCAGAGCGCGCCCCCGTCCCCTCCAGTTTGGAGAGGGCTGGCCGTCCGCCCCAAACCACAGCGCTTCAAGGCCCGGGACGCCGTGACATCACCGCTGCTTTTCTACTCTTAAGTCACCACCGGCACTGACACTAGGGCCACCCTGTGCCACGGCGGCCTGGGTCTCCTCTCCTGGCGTAATTATTCATAGCCGCCCCTTTGACTCTCAGAAGCATCCCAGTGTAACGAAGAAGTACTCGGCTACTCCTAAACCACACTGATACCTACGCTGGGCTGGTTTTCTAAGTTTCAGCGCACTTAATCCTTCTATCCTCCTGGCAACCTGTGAAGTCAATACTCATGTCTCCGTTTTATGAAAAGGGTGATTCTGAAATAACATCAATTCAACACTGCCCAGACTGAGACGGAGTAAGCTTTTAAAAACATAAATGAGGTGAAGGCCAGAGACCTGTAACCTCGGGGAGGAAGGAAACAAAGCCTCAGCCCTCATGCCAGGAACCAACCGCAAGCAAGAGCCCGCGACACCTGCTCTGGCGATGAAGCGCAGCTCAGACCAAAGCCAGAGTCTCCCGCGATCTAGCCTGAAGCCACTAGCCACACGCGGCAATTTAAGTGCAGTAAAACCCAGTTGAAGACACCGTGCCCTTTCTAAGTCCCACCAGCCACATGTGGAGGGCTCAGCACGTGCCCCGGGCCGCCCAGGCCCCGCACCTCTCAGAGATGGGCCGGATGCTGGAGATGGTCACTTCGGGCTCCTTATCCTCCATCCTGTCCATGCCCCAGGTGGCATCGGTATCCCAGTGGGAACCAAAGCTGTCCCCCAGGGAGAAGGGGTTGTCCTTGTACCTGGGGGGACAGGAGAGAGGCTGAGGGTCTGCTGAGGATACGGTGGCCAAGTCGGAGGTCCAACAGCAGCCTTACTTTGGGGGCCCAGAGGCGAAAGTACCAACATCGTCAAACAAGTCGAGCTGTGAGCGGGAGGATTTCGCACTCGCTGGTGTTTCCTGCTCGATCACTTGCATCTCGGCCAGCACAGAGTGGGAGACAGAGCTGTGGAAAGAAGCGGAGCTGGGGCCTCAGAGTTGGGTGAGCAGTAGCGTCACCGAGTGAGAAGAGCCCTGGCATGAAGCTGGGCACCACCCAGGGGCCTTCTCCCCTGAAAAAATACCATCTAGTGTCCCGGATATGTGGGAAGAATAGCTGATCCTACGCGGTATTCATTCCCAAATACTTAGTGAACAAGGCTGTGTGCCAAGCACTGTATCAGGTTAAGGCATAAGCAAAGCCTCAGAGGAAGCCTAAGTCTAGAACCCCAGACTGCTGAGGTGAGCCCACCAGGGTTCCCCGCCACAAGTGCAGAGCCGAGCCTCACCTTCGGGACACCAAGCCCATGCCCAGCCTCTCTGCCTGCTCTCGCTTTTTCCCCTCTAGGTTCTGTAGCTTCTTCTCCTCCTTCTTCCGGTCGATCTGGAGCTCCTGGTAGGCCAGGCGCATGGAGGCAACCCTGGGAGAGAACAAGGCTTCAGAGGCCTGCACCCCTCCCTGCCCGTCTCACCTCCCACTCAGCCCACGGGACCCGGAACCGGACAAACACTCACATGGACTCTTCTGCCTGCTTCTTGGCATCAGCTGCCTGCTGCTCACGGAGCTTCTCTGCTACCTGGGCCTGCCGCTCAATCTCGCTGAAACTCTGGCTGCTCACCTTCTGGGCCCCTAGGCCTTTCTTGGCACCCAACTGGGAAAAGAATCCTGTGCTAGAGACTGACAACCCAAACCCTCGGACCCCTCCTAGGCTTGGGCACTCTAACCACACCTCTTAGCTTCAGGTAAAACCCCTGAGCCAGCCAACAAGGTGGAAAGGGAGACCAGAGGTCTTGCTGGAGCCGGGCAACCCCGTGGCGGCCCCAAAGCCTGACGTCAGTCCCTATGCTGGCAGGCCCGTTGACAAGGCAAGCACTAGGCATGTGCCCTCTCCCCAGCTCTACCAGAAGCCCGAAGTGGGCACCGAGCAGCCCTTCCACAGGGATGGTTCAGAAAAGCCAACACCCTCGCCAAGGCCACGTGGCCAGGTAGCTCCCAATCACTACACGCTGCCTCTTCCCACCTACCCCTTTCTTAGCTGCTCCTGGCTTCTTCTTGCCGATGAGGGAGGTTTTCAGTTCTGTGTAAGAAAGAGAATGGTCACGAAAGGGGATCTGAGGCAGCAGCTCAGGCCACACCATGCAGCTTTCTGGTGAGAGCTTGTAAGAACAGCTTCAGGCAGGGGGAGGCAAAGCTGCCACCATCAGTCCAACCAATGGCGTCCAGGCCAGTCCAAGCCAAGGACAGACTAGGCTGGGTGGATGCTGCCTCCCAGCAGACTGAAATGAGAACCGAGGCCTGAGGCACCAGCATCAACGGCCCTAAAACAACACCAAGAGTGCAGATGCCAAGCACCAGCCCCAGCGCCTATAGCAGGGAGCCGGCGTGCAAAGGGCCAGGCTCCCAGGCAGCTCTTGATTACCTCTGACAGGAAGGGCCCCTTTAGCTGACAGATACATGGACTCTGGAGAGAGAGAGACTCGCGGCTAACAGAGGGCCCACCACAGAGCTTCCCCATCGCTCCCAAGTCCAGAGTTGTTCCCAGAGGCCACTCCAGACCCGGCAGACCAGCCCTCCGACAGAATGGGTTTGACAGTCACTCTGCTGGTTCTGCCCAAACCACCAAAGGCCAACAGAACACACTAAGTCAGCAATGGACTATTACCCTGAACCAAGTCTGAAGGACACTAAGGGAGAGTAGAAAGGAGCTAAAGAACAGGGACTGGCTCAAAAAGAAGAACGTCCCCTCCAGCCAGCAGCAGCAGCTCAAAGCTGTTCCTCATCCCAGGAAGTAAACCAGACAGGCCCATTGTGTCTCAGACCCAAGCATGAGGTGTCCAGTGTCATGCTGGCCTCTCCGCACTGTGACCAGCCCCAGACCCATCCCGAAGTAGACCCCAGTCTTTGCACAGCCCCCACGCCCAGGCTTGTGGAGTCCAAGGGTCTGGCGCTGAAGTCCCTGCAGTCCACACTGCAGCCTGACTTCAAGCTCAGTCTCAGGAGGTCAGAGCCTCAGTCTCCTGGTCAGTTCACGTGACCAGACAGCAGATCTGAAAAGAGCCCTGAGGCCCACCCTCTCCCAGGCACTCCACACCCCAGCTGACATACTGACCCAGAGAAGCTTGAGGTGAGGTGCCAAGCAGGTCCGTGTTGGGGCCGTGCTCCGGCTCTGTGGATGCAATGGTGGGCGTTAGGTATAGAGCGTGAACGTTTCTGGAAGTTTCCTATACACCTCCCTAGGGCAGGTGATGGGGCAAGCGTAGGAAGCACTGGCTTTCTGTAGCTTGCTGTGGCCACCAAGATCGAAGGAACACCCATCACTTCCTCCACGGGGGGAAATAAACCCCAGCCCACCCGGAGATCTAGACCCCTACTTCTCTCCCCTTGGCATGTGTCCAAGAGGGAGTGTCCTAAGTCCTTTACTAGGCACAGGCACCTGGATGGAATCTGGCTGAACTCACGTGCAAAGCTACTGCTCTCCGCACACGGGCCAGGCTGCTGGTTCTCTGCTGGGTCAGTGGCTGGTGCACTCCAGGCAGGGGGCTGAAAAGGAAGCAGGTCACAGAGCCTCGATGAGTCACTCCTGCTGGCGAGGAGGAGCAAGCACTTTGTAAGCACAAGGACCTACTCCCTGCCCGTAAGAAATGAAACTAGAGGTTGGTGAGTAAAAATATGGTTACTACTTACTGTGGAAGTAAGAAGCAGGAAATAGAGCTGCCCCCACTCTCCACTACTACAGTCAGAGCACACCCCCAGTTTAACTACTGGGCACTTACCACATGCCAGGCAAAAACCCAAAGGAAAGTCATGTATAGTAAGTGTCTAATGGTCACAACAAACCCTACAAAGTATATCGCCATTTTGGAAACTGGGGTTTGACAGGTTATGTGAAATTAACCACTGTCCTAGAAGTGCTGAGTAGAGGAGGAAGAATTCAACCTGAGTGTGACTTCAAGACCGGTAGAGAAGCAGCTCCCCCATGGTGGTTGAGGGGCAAGGGCATTCTTGCATTGTCCCCAGCCACAGTATCTTCCTTACAGGGAAAGACTTCAGAGGAAAGTTGTCTGGGGCTCTGACAGCTCCTCAAGAAGCTTCTCCTCCCTGCCACCTCAGATTATAGGGGTCCATTCCTAAAGAGCGCCACCAGTGTACCCCCAATTCACCAGAAGAACACCTGAAGGTCAACCCAGCAGTGTGACCCAGACATTCCTTGCCTGAAGTATCACACCGAGGTGAATGGGATCCATGCTGTGACTGCAGAAGAGCCAGGCCTAGGTAAGTAAACCAACCTCAGAATCCACTCCCTGGGCACTCACTTGAGTGTGTTCCATGAAGAAGTCAGAGTCCTTCTTCTCCGGGGAATGACCAGGGCCACTATTCATACTGTCTATCCAAAGCTACGCGGGAGAGAGGACAACCTTGAAGCCCAGGCCTCTGAATATTCCCACACCCCACCCCTACCCCCCAGCTCCAGGAAGAGGCACTTACATCGGTGCCATGCCTAGCCAAGGCGGCACTCCCCTGCTGCCGGATCTTTTCCCTGTACATCTGGGCAGCCCGGCTGTTATATTTGGTGTTGGCATCATTGGTTGTGCATCCGTGTTGGCGAAAGAAAGCCGTCTGGAGAGCAGAGAATCTGTTGCAGGTGATTCTCCCCAGAGCGAAAGAGGCACACCCGTTAAAAACAGCCTGCTTATTAACCAGGATGGTCGCTCTACTGACACCAGCAGTGTTTCACAGCCCTTAACTGCCTCAGGAATTCCCACAGGAACCACAGCCTCCCACCACTGCAGGGACTGACAGAATCCAGCCTTCTGAGGACCGCATGAGATACCCACTCTGCCCATCCTTCATGCAGGTCTTGGGAGAAGACCTGGATGATTCTGGAGGCCCTAATTCCCTTGGCCTGTCCAGGTTAGTTTGAATATGAAGCCCCTTTGAGAAGAAGTGACTAGTTTCTAAGTTTTAGCAAATAATGTAGTATTGTTATAGACCAGAGAACATTCTGAATAGAGAAAAGGGGGGTGGTGGGGGCTCCAAGGAAGTCAACTCAGAGTACCCAGACAGAAAAACAGGGACAGGAACGGGTAGGAAGAAGCTTTACCGCATTGGCATTCCCGCCGACCTGCATACACCTCAGCTGGAACCAGTTCCAGTTGGAATCCAACTCTGTGGACCTGTGTGCAAGAGCTGCGTGTCATCCACCAGCAGACAGACGCTTCCCCAGCAGACCCACACCTGTCATCTAGCCTGCAGTAGGCACACAGGAATCATTAATCAGTCACCACCTATTTCCTCCTCTAGCCGGCCCATGAAAGTTTGTCTCTCTGCTCATCTACTCTAAACTCTTTTTCCACTTAAGAAAGGAGATAGAATGCTCAGGCGCTCAACGTTGGTTTTGGCTTTCCCTTAAAGCTAGCCAAGGTATCACTTCAGATCTACGAGAGAGTGTACCAACAACAAGGTCAACGCAGCTAACTTTCCCCCAAACTAAAGCTCAGGGAGCCAACCCAGACGCTGAGATAAACCACCCATGTGGCAAGAGCCCACCCACCAAAGGCTCCCAGAACCGCGGCCCATTAGTTTCGGGGCACCGGATTCTAAGAATCCGATCCGGGTGGAGGCAGCCACTCTCCCCTGCTGGGCCCACAGCGCGGTCCGCCAAGAAGCGCCGCAGACGCAAGGAGACCACACCTGATGAAGCTGAGATGGACGCCCAGGGAGCGGTGCACACCCGAGCAGTCAATACACAAGAAAACACCGTATGTGATGCTGGCCCAGCTCGGATTCTTGGCGCCGCAGTCAAAGCAGGCCTGGGTGGAAGAGGCGATAAGCAAATGGTCAGGGGCCTCGAGCCGAGGCTGGACGCTGACACCCCAGCGAAACAGCCCACGTCCGACCCTCTCCCCTTCCTCAGGCCCCGAGAATCCGGGGGGGGTCCCTCGCGGCCAGCGCCTGACCCCGCGCGCCTTCTGCTCACGCACTTTGTTGGTTGGAATCGCGCGAAGCCTCTTAAAGAGGGTCTGGATCTCGGTCTTGCTCGGCTCTGTCGCCATTTTCTCTCCTTCCCAGACGCCACCGCGACCGACGGGTCCCGTCGCAGGCCAATCCTGGGCCGGGGGGGCGGGGCAGCCGAGTCGGCCTCGGCGGTGCCCTTGCCGCCGAGGGGTGGGGCAATCCGGCCGGTTCTGGACCAATGCGGGGCCGGCGCCACACGGGCGGTGACGTCATCCGCCCCCGCCTCCACAATGGTTGCCGGAGTCCACGCCGCCCCGCGCCGGGGCCAATCCGTGGTCAGGGCGGAGCGACAGCTCTCGGGCTGGCTCAAACCTCTCCGCCCCGCGGACGCCCGCTGCCCGCCCCGCCTCCCCGAAAGTGGAGTCCCAGCCCAGAAGGTGCCGGCTGCGGCCAGCGGGCCTGAGCGCGGGCCGGTTCTGTACGGATCAGCAGCGATTCTGTCGAGGACTCATGGTCCCGCCAGCCTGAACAGGAAGACACACTGGCGAGCCTTCAGCTCCGGCCCTAACCGGCTCTAACCAAGTCTGCTCTCCAGACCCTTCCATCCCAGTTTAGGGTCCCCAAGTTCCAGAGCAAGGATCAAAATGATGAACCCCTGCTCAGCCCCCGCGCCCGTGACTTGCTGTAGGTGAGCATTCTCCCCACGGCGCCGCTCTCCAGATACCCAATGGCGGCCTGGTAAGCGTGGACGATAGAACGAAATACACACGAGCCTCAAGGCTTTTCTTTTTACCCTCCAAGTTTAATACACACTAGAACAAGCCACAAAAAAGGGTGCCACTAGCCCAGAACTACACGCACCCCAAACCCAACCCAAGAGCCCCCCAAAACAGACCAGGAATTGGGTCCATGGCTCCTGAAGGAGACCCGGACACCCCCGAACCCTTCTGTCACTTTTCTGACCTCCCCACAGTCCCCTCAGCCTCCGTTGACCCTTCCCTACCAGTCCCTTCCTAGAGGCAGGCCCCTCCCCTCCCTGGGTCCCAGGACCACCTCCCTCCTCAGGGATGGAGGGGGGTTGGGCTCCATGTTTCAGGGCCTCATGTCCAGCTGTGCAGAAGAAGCTGGCCTCTGACTCGGGTTGGAGAAATGTCGCAGAAGGGCTGTCAAGGCAGGTCAGGCCCCCACACACTCCACGTAATTGGCGGGGTACAGACCTATGCGGCCACTCTGCAGCTGGCCCTGACACCAGCCTTGCTCATCTTCCTCGCTCATCTTCAGCAGCTCCTCCCCTGGGGGAAGTGGGACTGGTCATTGCCAATTGCCCTGGCCCAGCCCCTGTTCCTGCATTTGGGCCAAGGATTGAGGGGGAAGGGAAAGTACAGCTAGGAGAAGAGACTAGGCCAGAGCACAGGGAGGTCAAAGTCAGCAAATCTCTCCACCTCAGACCCTGAACGCAACAATCAGGCCCCAGCGGGTGACGGGCTCTAAGGCAGGGAGGATTCAGAGTAGGCACTGCCTTCTGGGGTCAGGACCCACCACTGCCTTAGAGAACCAGCCAACCCAGCCAGCTCTCAGAACTGGGTGTCTAGTTTCCCCTTTTCACACCCCTGCAGGGACCATTATAGTGGTGTGGGGAAGGGGATGAAGCCTGGAAAGAATAGGAAAGGGGTCCCAGGAGTACCTGCTCTGAAGCTCAGCTCATCAGCTTCCTGGCCAGCGTAGTCATAGAGGGCCCGTACCCGCACCCCAGTGGCAGCCTTCCGGGGACTCTCCTCATCTGACCAGTCCTCATCCCGCCCACTGCTGCAGAGAGGCAGGTAGGCAAAGATAAGGCAGAGGGAGGACCCTGAGTCAAGAGTCCAAGACCTAGGGCAAGGGTTCACCCCCTGTAGCAACCCAGGGAGAGACAGATGGGGAAGAATGGAAGAAGATTCTAGTGGACACCTGCCACACATGCTGGTGAGCTCAGTACAGTTTCTGCCACACACAGAGCTGACATGAGCAACAGGAGAGACAGAACTTGGGAAATGCCTGGTGAATCTAAACCACCATGAAAACTGGAGTCAATGCAATGACTTAAGTAGGCCCAAAGGTCCCTGGCACCAGTTTCAAGCTACTTTAAGTGCAAAAAAATGAAGCAAAGGAGACAGAGGAAAGTGGACAGGCTATAGGGCAGAGCTTCCCACAGCCAGGTTCCTGGTCCTCACCTTGGGGATCCCGGGGACTGGGGTAGGGGCGCAGTGCCATCTCTTGTGGGCACAATACTGGTCAGAGTAACCTCATCAGGACTCCGGCCACCCTTCTCCTTCCGGCTGATTGCCCTCTGTGTGTCCAAGGACCACTCCTGTGGGGACAGTGCTTCAAGTCACGCTGGGCTGCAGGCTGTGATGGCAGTCAGGGCGATGCAGCTTCACCTGCACCCGCCAAGCCTTGCCTCCCTCCCAACTTGGTCCCACCTCCTAGCTCAAGCCAGTCTAAAACACACACCTCAAACTGTGGCCAGTTCATGGCCATGCCCGGCCCGTGGGTGCTGCGCCACCAGCGCAGATCCTCCTCGTCGCTCACTGCTTCAATGCCTTGATGCAGGTCACGGTGGAGTTCAAGGAACCTGTGGCCCAAGGCACAACCCTGACACTGGGCCACCCTGGCGTGGACCTCCCAACTCATTCAGCCAAGCCAGACTCCTAGGAAGACGGAGGAAACCCGCCAGTATCCCAGAGCTCCACAGGCCGTACCTCTCACTGCTGGAAAGGTCAAGGTGCTGGTGTAAGGTGAGCAGCATGTCCTTGAAGAAGAGAAGCCGCTGGCGCTCAGCAGCCTGGCAGCTCTCAAAAGCCTGTTCCATGTCCTCCATGTAGCGCGGGGTGTAGCGATGCAGCTCCGCCAGCGTCTGCTCATACTGGACTTTCACCTGGGTGGGAGAGGTGCGACCACTCAGGACTCTGCTATTACATTTTTGTTAAAGACTTGTTTATTTAATCATGCAAGAACTGAGGTACAGGCCAGAGTTGTGGGAGTGAGAGGATTCACCAGAGACATAGTGGGGAGCAGAACAGGCAGATCAGTGAAGTACACGCTGAGGGGAGCAGCAGGTGACAGGAGTGGTCTGCCGTGCCATGTGGGTCTGGCTGGGAATCGAACTCGTGCTGCAGGGGCTGCCAGTAGATACATCATGCTGTGCTTTAACCTCTTGCGCCACCAGGGAAGCCCAAGACTCTACTATTATTTACTGAACACCTGCCACTGGCAGTTTGACACCAGGGAAGGCTGCCCCAAGACCTGGGTCCTGCCTTCAAGGGCCCTAACAGCCTTCAAGGAAGATTCCGCAGCTAGAAGAGTCTGGTGGAAAATGAGAAGTCAGAAGGCTTCAGGAGGAGGTGGGACCTGAGCAGCAACTCAGGGGAGAGTGGAGGAAAAGGTGCTCAGACTAAGCAGGCAACTGAGAACTGGTCCCAGGCGTGAAAGGAAAGGAGCTGGGAAGGTCTCACAGCAGAAATTATCCCAGTGCCGGAAGCCATCCCCTTTCTTTCCCTGGGAAAAATATGTCCTTTCCTCAGACTCCTCCCTTGAGTGACAATCTGGGGAGGGTGGCAGGTGAGGCTTCAGGTGGGAAGGGTGTGATGGGGGCTGCAGAGGCATTCGGGAAGGCCCGCCCTGGCCATGGGGCCCTGCACTGGTACCTTCTCAGCCTCCTTGGTGCAGCGGTCCACGCGCTCCTGCAGCTTGCGCACCTGCTCCTGGGACACGGCGCTGTCGGCCTTGGCGTGGCTCTCCCGGGTCTGTGCCGTCTTCTCCTCCTTCCGGGCTGCGTGGTAGCTCTTCTTGGAAGCCTCAACCTGGCACAGCCGGAGACAGCTCTAACCCCTGCATGCCATGCCCTGCCCCGCGCCAGGCCCCGGGGGGACCCAGGGAGTGGCCTGCCTCTGTGGCCTGTCCCTCCCTGGCTCACCTCCTTCAGCCTCTTGAGCCAGGGCTTCTGGGCCTTGCGGAAGCCATCCTCCGCCGCCCGGCTCTCGCGGAAGCCGCCGAGCACTGGCCGGTGGAAGGCACCCCTCTGCCAGGCACGCACCCGCTCACTGTCCTGCCCCTGCAGCTTCTCCCGCACCTCCAGGTGCAGCGCGCTCAGCCGCTCCGCTGCGGTGAAGAAGGCGTGCCAGGCCTTCTCCAGTGTGCCATACTGAGGGCCTGCGGGGAGAGGTGGGCCTGAGCCAGACCTGGGACACCACTGGAAGAGAGCCTGCCTCCTCTCACTGGGTGGGCTGTGGGCGGCCCGCACTGAGGGAGGGCGCAGAAATGAACACCAGTGACCAGCCACTGCTTGTGGAATAGCTAATCTGCACCTTGCCTCACCCACCACGTGCAAACAGAGTCAAGTCAACACCTCACAGGTGAAAAAACAGAGGCTCAGAGAAGTAAAGAATTGCCCAAAGCATTACATCTACCAGTGGAGCTAAAGTTCAAACCCAAATCTGTTACGTAAATCCTGATGGCTCCACTACCTCAGAGGGAAGAACTACTGTCCATCCTCAAGGAAAGCAGCCTATGAGCATGAAAAGGCCCTGAACCCAGAAGGCCTGGGCTCCAGCTTATGCTCTTCTTAGCTGTGTGATTCCTGGCAAGTCACTTAGCCTCTGAACTCCCAGCTTTTGCTCTTGAAAATAGGGAGGAGAGGACTGTCTCTATGACAGCAGCGTTAGAAATATCGGGACTGGGGCCCTCCCTGGTGGTGCAAGGGGTTAAAACAGCACTATGAAGCTATCTGCAGCCACTGCGGCACTCGCACTCGGCACTGGGAGTTTGATCCCCCTCCAGGGGGCTGACCCACATGGCGCCGCAGACCTCCTGGCTGCCCGCTGCTCCCCTCAGCAGTGTATTTCTATCCGTCTGCCTGTTCTGCTCCCCACTCTGCCTCTAGTAAGTCCCCCCACACCTCTGGCCTGTACCCCAGTTCTTATGTGCATAAATAAATAAATCTTTTTTAAAAAGAAAGAAATAGCAAGACCTATCTTGACTGCACTTCCCAGACAACAGGGCCCAACTTAGGATTCTCGTAAGCAGAATCCACCCTCGTCGCACAGAGGCAGACCTATGAGCCTCACACTTCCCACAGGGGAACAGAAGAAGCCGCCTGTGTGCCCCCGCCTTGGCCTGAGGGCTGGCTCACCCTTCTCCACGGTGCCCCTCCACTTGCGGGCCCATTCGGCCAGCTGCTGGGCATAGGCCTTCTCGATGCGGGCTCGCTCCTGGAAGCAGCTGACCAGGTCCCCGCACAGCCGGTGCCCGTCCTCCACCCGCTGTACCGTCCGCCTGTAGTTGCCAGCCTGGAGCATGCATAGGAAGGTATGTCACCAGGGAAAAGGCCCCTCGAAGG